TCAGCAAAAAAAACACAAACCTTACTGGAAAAATTCAAATGGGAAATTTTTGATCACCCACCCTACTCTCCAGATCTCGCACCAAGTGACTTTTTTCTTTTTCCTAAGTTAAAGGAAAGTTTGGGTGGCCATCACTTCAATTCAAATGATGAAGTGAAAGACTTTGTTAAATTATTCTTTAAAAAACAGGGCACGGATTTTTATAAACAAGGTTTGTCAAAGCTTCAGAACAGATATAAAAAATGTATTCAAGTCCAAGGGGACTATGTAGAAAAATAGTTTATAAGTCAAACAATAAATACATATGTTACTTTAACCTAAAAATTGTGTTTTGCTTTTTTCCCGGAGCAGGGAAACTTACTTTTTGAACACCCCTCGTACTTATGGCTGAAGAAAATTTGAAAATTATTTAAAAAAGCACAGTAAGAAACTCATTTTATATGCGTGGTTCAGGATTAATTTATGTAATATACACGAATATACGAGTTCTCACATAATTGCCAAATAAAAATTGAAACATTATATCCCTGAATATATGTATCAAAAAATTACAAAAATGTAATAAAGGCATTAAAAAACAAAAAGAGCAGTTTATAAAGTTTATTTTAAGACTAAAAAAAATTATTATGTTTTTCAAACGTAAAGTTCATAGCTTTTCGAGTATACGTATAGAATTTATTTGGTAGAACATTTGTACTGATATTTGTAACACATATTGTTTTAAAATTTTAAAAATTGGTACTTCACAGTAAAAAAAATTAAAATATTGCAATTAGTACTAAATAACACATTCTAAATAGTATTCTTGCAGTACTATTATAGATAGAATTTTTTTTATAGAACACTTAGTTGATATTTGAACATTTTTATCAAATGTTTAAAATTTGCATTTCATAGTTAAAAAATTGAAACAATTATTTAATCTATATTGGATTTTTTCTTATTATAAAATTACATTTTTTCAGTAATAATAAGAATACTGATAATCGACTATTAATAATATCATATTAATATTACGAATAACATTAATATATATTTTATTAATATTTATTAATAAATATTAATATATATTAATATCATAAAAAATATTATGAAATTATTAAAATATGCATTTTTAAAATAAAAAGTAAATGAATAATTAGACTAATACTCTCGTTTTTACCCTTTTTAACTGTGTGGGCATGCTGCACGACACGCATCAATATTGTGTAAATGCAGCACTAGCTGAAGGTTCAGGATCGTGGGTGAACAACAAAATAAAAAGCGCGCGTTGCCAAAACTCCACGCAGACAAGTACTACTTTATTGCCTGTGGTACATTTTCAACAAGAAATACATTATGCCGGGCCGAACAACAGTTGAACTCTAATTCGACGCGCAGTACATTTTATGATTTCGCCGAAAAGCCGTGCACGTGTACAGAAACAAGATTGCCGAGAGCGAGGCACGCGTGATGGCGAAGTTATCGTAGCACGTGTGAGACTGACGCTACCGGAAATCTTCCCAGACTTCTCCCGGACCTTGAACAATTGCGCCGCAGTTGGCTTTGATTGATAACTAATTCCGGGAGAAATCCGCGAAGTTTGAATTTTCCAAGCCGCCTTAATTCAGACTCGAAAAGTGTGTGACTGATACAACGGAGCGCGGTGCGATCGCGTACACTTAGGTGGAGCGACGATGTCCGTTTTGGCTACAAGCCGATTCTTGGTCAGAATCGCGCAACAGACTGTAAAGTGCCAATTTTCAAATTTAAAAAAAAAATATCAAGATATCAACACAAGCGTATATCAAAGAAAATATTATATGTGCACTGGAAAGATATCATGAAAAACGTCACGTTTTGATTTTTTTTAACGTTAAAATCATTTTTGCTATTAATGGGAGGATTATATGATTATTAAAATTTATTAAAATCTATTGTTATCTAGCATGTATGTATGTCTCTTTTTCCTTTATACAAGAACACGCCGAGTGGCCGAGAAAGCACATTTTAAGTTTTCGGTCGCTTATAACAAGCGACTAGTAGAGGAAGCGAGACAGCGAGAGAGAGCGCTCGTCTTTTTTGCTCTATTACTCATTTGTGTTACAAGTTACTAGTAGAGCGAGAAGGACCGGTGCTCTCTCTCGCTGTCTTGCTCGCTCTCGCGCAGCGGCAAAGTCGGCCGATTCGGTGGCAGTAGGTATCTGCTTGATGGGGATAGAAGTGATGGGGCTGGTTTTTTGTGGTGCCGGGGACCAATTGTGTATAAGTGGTTCTAGCACATGGCTATGTCGCCTGATTCTATTAAGTATACTTCATTTGTAACTCCGTTGGGGCAATTTGAGTATATCAGAATACCATTTAAAAATTGGCCCCCAAAGGTTTCAAAGATTTATAAACGAGGTAATGTTGGATCTTGTGCAAGCAAGCGACATAGTCATATACATGGACGATATATTGATAGCCAGCGTAAGGACGGATTCTCATTTAAAAACTTTATGGGAAGTATTCACTGTTTTAGTTGAAAATAAATTCGAGCTACACCTGAAAAAATATTCATTTTTGTGTACCAATATCTTGGATATGCAGTCACCCAAGAGGGGCTAAGGCCAACAGATAGTGACACGTCGGCAAAACTTCCCTGAGCCTAAGACGGTGAATGCTGAACGGATGCTGAACGGGCTGCTTTCAATCAGTTAAGGTAGAGATTGATTGAAGCGCCTACCTTAATAATCTATGATTCAAT